AGGTCGATATGACGATGATTGTGTTTTGAACATGAAATATAATCCAGCACCAGAAGTGCCTAAGTGTGATGAAGATGATAGGACTGAGCCAGCTCATGTGGATGACGAATTACGAGAACTGGATGCTCGGACTGATAAAGTTTGCTCCTCTGGTTTGCCCAATTCAGGGCTTCTCTCGCATTCAAAAAAGATGTATGATGTTGTCTATAGAAGGTCAAAGTTGCACAAGGGTAGGACTAATTCAGAAGGGAATCCTGGTGTTAGGGGAGAAAAAAATACCAATGCACATAACCATAATGATAGCACTGGAACAAATTCTAAGGCAGGCGCAACTGATGGGGCTCATATGATGCCGTCCAATGGACTGAAGGCAGTGACGAGTGGCTCAAATATCAGGTCTGAGGAAGGACAAGAATCAGATGATTCAAATAGAAATTCAAAGAGTAATTCCATAAGAAAAAGTCAAATTACACATGAAGAATGGGGAGTAAGCTCGAGGACAACAGTTGGGTTGAGGTCCGCAAGAAATAGGAGGACTAGTTACCACCGTGACCATAGTCCAGTTGATAGAAGAAAATATTTGATACCATCAGGGAAAGGATCATGGTTAATGCTATCAACACATGAGGAGGGCTCCCGTTATATTCCCCAGAAAGGGGATGAAGTTGTGTACTTGAGACAGGTAAGAGCAGATTGTAATGTCCTAGGCTTGCTGATTATATTCTTCCTCTTCATCTGCAATTTATTCATTGTTTTAACCTTCTCCATTTTCAGGGTCATCAAGAATATATTGATTACTGTGGCTTGAAAGGCTCAGGTCCTTGGACATCAATAAAGGAGAATATAAGACCAGTGGAATTTTGTAAAGTTGAAGGCCTTGAATATTCTACACTTCCAGGGTCTGGAGATAGCTGCTGTAAAATGACGCTTACATTCGTAGACCCTAGTTCTACCTTGGTCAATCGATCATTTAAGTTAACTCTGCCAGAAGTTACTGGTTTCCCAGATTTTCTTGTGGAAAGAACTCGATATGATGCTGCGATGCAGAGAAATTGGACATGCAGGGATAAGTGCAGGGTCTGGTGGAGAAATGAGGGTGAAGAAGATGGTAGTTGGTGGGATGGCCGGATCCTGTCTGTAAAGGCCAAGTCTCCTGAATTTCCAGACAGTCCATGGGAGAGGTACACTATCCGGTACAAGAGTGATCCCACAGAAACACATCTTCACAGTCCTTGGGAACTTTTTGATGCTGATACGCGGTGGGAACAGCCTCATATTGATGATGAGAGCAGAAACAAGCTGATGTCTGCCTTTGCCAAATTAGATCTATCTGGCAGTAAAGTCCAGGTACGATAGAGAATACTCTCTTTAAACATAAAATTTTGTCGCATGAAGCAAAATTAGCCCGTGAACCTACCATCACGAGTACATTTCTGATAAATTGTGAATGTTTCAGGATCCTTACGGGATTCAGAAATTGAAGCAAGTTTCACAGAAATCTAGTTTTACCAATAGGTAATACTTTATCTAATTATTATCTTCTTTTTCTTGATTTAGAGGAAATATTTTTCCACTCCTCTTTATACATACATCGGACTAAACACAAATATAAAATTGACTACAATTTTGCAGGTTTCCAGTTCCTTTGACCCTTGACATTATCCAGTCTAGATTAGATAACAACTACTATCGGAGCCTAGAAGCGTTCAAGCACGATATTTCAGTCATGCTAGTGAATGCAGAGTCATACTTCGGAAAGAACCTAGAGCTTGCAATGAAGATAAGGCGGCTATCGGATTGGTTCAGGCACACGTTATCATCTTTGTAGCCCTCAGAATTGTTTGGGGGAGATCAGCAGATGCAAGTCGAAGCGAAGCTGTCTTGTTTTCCTCAACCTCTTTCTTTTCTTTGTAGATAATGAATTTTCCTTTGAATGGGTAGGGTTTTTTTAATTCACCGTTTCATTAAAATCCAATTTTGGGTATTGGTTCATAATTGGTATAGTTTTTTTTTTTTTTTTTTGGTGGGAAAAATTAGGGTTGTTAGGGAACTCTAGCTGGTTAATATGTGGAATATTTTCCGCTTGAAAATTCTTTAATTGTATAGGCTGATGGTACTTGATATTCATCATTCAACAAACGAATTAAAACATTCCATATGGATTATGCTTTTTGTTAAAAAAGATTGTTCGGATGAAACAATAGAAGGCCATTCATTCACTGTCCATGTCTGATTACTTTGGCTTCCAGCAACCCAGCAATTCTTATATTATATTTTATAAGATGGATAAACTTTTACTTAAAAAAAAAATTAGTTTTTCAATGTGAGAATCACTGTGAAACAGTTATTTTCTGTGTTATATATATATATATATATTTGTATTTCTATTAAATCACCGCCATATTCTGCTCAAACTTATAATAAATACTAAATTTATTTTAAAAACAGACAAAATAAAAGAATAATTAAACAAATTCAAACTTTTCTGAGAGGCCAAAAACTGATAGATAATATATTTCCTAATCAATTTTAGGAGTTGCAAGTAACCCAGAGCAAAAGATTATCATTTTACAACCTCCAAATAAAGATTTGACCACAGGTGGTCTTTAGCCATGCTAGTTAAAAAAAAACATCAACCTCATGATTCATAAACAGCAAAATCTCATTCTCTCCATCGATAATTACAATTCGGGTTGCAACAGACGAAAAACAGTGTCATACCCTCTTCGCCTCTAGAAGCCGCCTGTACATGCAAAAATACAATAACATTTAGAGCACAACACTATCCGCTTAGCCGATACGCTCTTGAAATGTCCTTAGGCAATAAAAGATTGAACATGAGCATGGGTGAGCCAACGAAAAGATGGTTGAGTCCACCATCCATAGCAAGCCTATACGTTTGTTTCTCAGAACTAAGGCTTCAAATGACTCTTGAGCTAGCATATGAGAATCATTAATTGGTTTTGCAACATTAATTCAAACTAAAATGCAGTTTCCTGTCGTTCTTCCACTAGAGAGAAAGGAAGACGAAGTGAAAGAAATAAAGGCTTTAGTCCATCTGAAGTTTATGGCAATTATCCTCATTTACCTTCCTAACGTTGAATGGGTAAATCAATAAAGGTGGAAGAAGAGGGAGGGAAAAGCACAGACACCTATACATTAAGAGGGCTAATGGATTTCTTTTGAACATAAGAGAATAAATAGGCAATTGCTCTACCTACTTAGTATCAAATTATCGTGTGCTAAGGTTAGAATTATGCACCCTGCAAGTTATTTCTATTTTTACTTTTTAAGTAAAAATATATACAATAGTACAAGAAGTTGACCTGGAAGAAGACAGCTTCTCCATGCTGGCATTTTACACAACGAACAGATTTAGTACGGGGAAGAGTCGGATCCGCAGCCACATCTGACAATATTTGGGTTTGTTCCCCAACAGAGTGGTGCACTTCATTTCTATATACACAGTTATTATCAGCAACTTCCTGCAAACGTTGAAAGAATGAGTACAGAACCTACAGCTGTATATACAACCAAAAAAAGCACCAACACTACAGCTATATTTATATATAGAGAAGAAAAAAAAAGACACAGACCCTACAGCTAAAAACTGTAAGGTTGATGCAAAACAAGAATACTGCATAAAATTTGATTGTTGTGTTTCTTAGCAAAGCCGATGTAATTGTTACAGGCGAAAATTTTCCAATTAAGTCGGATAACAGTAGTTTCTATCCTGAGTTAAAAGATGTACACCATGCATCAATCAAGTATAAGCCACAAGTGGGAGAACAATGCAAGTCGATGACAGCTGGTGTGTGGATTTACGATTAAATTAGGGTTCGGAGAATTACCATAAAATTTCTATAAATGATTTACAATGAACATCCATTAAGTTACAAACTAAAGTAAATATGTCCATTTTTCGAATAACTTGTTGACTGACATTTACTCTGCAATACCACCTACAAGAGCCTGATATAAGGGAAATTTCGAGAACTTAGGGAGGCAATTTCCCCCTTAAATAGATAAATTAAAATCAATCAGCATTACATTTTATAAACTCTCTCCACCTTGAATACCTTCACTTGGGGGTTTGCTAATATTAGAATCTAATTAGACCCAAGTACGAAGAATTGGGACAGACTCAAAGGTCGTTGGTACTGATACAAGGGTCCAAGTTCAGTCCAGTCTAAGAATCCGCTGTCCACCATGAAATGTAACTCAACTTTTGTTTCCATAAATGCCAGTCAGATGGAGAAGAAGGAAAAGATGGAAGTTTCTGATATATCCCTAATATGGAAAATTCTAAAGTGCCTCCAAAGGAACTAAGAAAAAAAGAAGTTTGAAAAAAATAAATCATTGATATTTTTTGAGTGATTGGTACTCTTTTCCACCTAAGGTGGAGACTAAGGAGGTACCTACCTCCAAGACATGGCAGCACTTTTCCCCCACTATTACTTTGACTTCTTTTTCATGTTCTCTAATTATTGATTTATATAAACCTAATCTTGCTAAAAGAATTGAAAGAAATAGTTAAAAAAAAAAAAAGCCAACTATTTCCTTTGCAAATGAAATGAAAAAATGGATTACCGGTGATCAGTAAGCAACAATGTAAGCTAAAAATTCCAAGAGTTGCTGCATCAACCAGATTGAAGTCTTAGTTTATTTACAACCGAAATAAATAACAGAGAAAACTCAACTAAAAGCTCCTCGAATTAATCTCAACATAAATCAGAGACAAAAGAGAAACACATAGGGGATAGATATTAGGGCTTCAATCGGTAAAATATCATACAAAACAAACAGCAGAAAGTTGAATAAGAGAAGGCGAAAAAGAAACCCTATAACCTGGTGATCACAATTGCGGCAAGCATAGAGAAGGATCTTCTGGTCCTTGTCTTCTTTAGGATAGAGAATATTATTGCTGAAATTGAATTGCACAAACAATGTTTTGTAGCATTCAGCATTCGAAATTCAGAGAGAATCATTCGAGATTTTAGGACGATAGTGATGAGAGATTAGTGCTAACCATTCGCGGCAGAATTTCATGGTACTCATCTTCGCTAAAGCTTGGGGCGAGAGCTTGAGAACTGAGCGGAGAGAAGGGATTCTCTTGTTTGCCTGTCTTCCGCCTCCAGTTCCCTACTCTCCGGTACTTTCTACCAGTGGCAGCCTTTTGTAATTCTCGCGCGTACTTGAGGGTGATTGTTAATATTATTATTTTTCCATTATTACTAAAAAATTTGTACGACTGAATCACAATCTTTTTATAAATAATTAAATTATTTATTTATTTATGTATTTCACTTTTTTACAATTAACACAACAAATTAAAACTTTGTTGTATAATTCGATTTTTCTGTCTCTTTTTAATCAAATTAGGTATTTTTAAAAATATTAAACCATACCGTATAGTTCATCCGTTTTAATATTTTTCGTACGTAATCTTTTGTATAGTCGGAGGCTTAAAAGCTCGATAGATATTCAATGCTATCAAATTAATACTTGACAAAGATTGGGATCTTAGGTCAAGGCTAATGACCCATATGATTGCATTTTCAGAAACTCAGAAATGCACAAGACCACGCAAGACAGAGGCTTAATGGTAACAAACACTAGTCTGAAATTTCAAGAACATCTGAAAATCCAACTATCAGAACAAATACTAACAAAACATCTACTGAAATTTTTAAATTATTACATCATGATTCAAAATCTTAAAAGACAAATTTACCAAACTTATTAAAGACAGTACAATTCTCCGTACTAACCGCTCTAGAACTTCCATCCAACAGAACTACTTCACACGAGTGAGTGCAAGAATGGTAAAACGCCTGCGAAGAAGTATCTATGACACACAACCATAACGGATGAGACATTGCAAATGGCTAATTCCCTTTTCCTTCAACGACTTCTGCTGTGTCTCCTGCTCTTTCTCCGGCTGCCTCTATTGTCGTCAGAATCAGATACTGAAGCTGATTCTGAATCGTAAGACTCGGAAGATGAACTGTACCGCCTGTGCTTTCCCTTCTTTTGCTTCTTTTTCTTCCTCCGTCGCCTTCTCTCTTCTCCAGAATCTGATGAGGAACTGTAATCCGAACTACTTTCTGCTGAAGAATATTCTGATCCTGTAACAGATGACGATCCACTATCTGTCTCAAAAACTGATGCCTCACTATCACTACCAGCATCAGAATCTGATCGATGCTTCCTTTTGCTCTTCTTTGAACTCTTTTCAGGCTTATCCTCCTTCATAACTGGATTATCCAAATCATATGGGATTGAGAGCTTCATCCTCAATTTAGGGTTCTTAAGCTGTTGCGTTCGAGAGGGACGCGAGATGTAAACCCTCTCATTCTTACACTCGTATGTCCAATGACCAGATTGGAAGCACTTCTGACACTGGGAAGCAGTGCCACCAATGGTGGACATTGTAAGTTTGTCTTTTCTTTCACCAAGTTTCACTGCTTTTTCAGTACTCATCAAATACATTTGCCTCTTTGCCTCCCTTTTCTCCTGCCATCTGCTTGGTCCTTCTTCCTTCTGGCCATAGGCATTAACATTTCGAGCTGCTGCAGCTGCTGCCCGCTCTGCCTGAGCTCGACTAAGACCTTTTGCAGCACTCAGTGCTGCAGCCTTGATTTTTTCAGCTGCAGCCTGAGCTTTCTCTTCCTTCTTACTTGACATGTTTCAAATCCTCCTCAGTGCAAAATTTTCACATGAAAAGGAAATTCCAAACTCTGTGTTATCAATCTTACACGATCCTTTTGCTCACTGCATTCAAAATTGACCTCAGTTTAAATTACTGTTGATGGGTCAATAAACAAGGATACAAGTATATGGCTAAAATCAAAAATTGATTTAAAAAAATAAAACCTCGAGAGACTAGCAAAATGGTAAGAAGCCAGAGAAAAGAGTGGAAGAAATAACTCCCTGCATTAATCAAGAACTCTTAGAGATGTTTTGAAAAAACAAGCAGGACCACAAAGAAACACCATAGCTTGTGAAGAACTGACAGGTAAAGTCAAGAAACTTTACACAAAATACGCTAAATTTATGAATTTTTCAACGCATGCTACCCAGAAAAACCTGAAACTCGCGCTCCATTCACCTCAATTCAAGTTTCAACGATTTTTACTTCAAATAAATCAGTTTGAGTTTTACAAACCAATCCCCGAGTAGAAACCCTAGCAAGCTCCCAAACTTTCCCTCTTCCGTCTGTCTGTGCTCCTAATCTCTCTCTTGAAACCCTAAAATTGCAAATCCCCCAAAAAGCTCTCTGCTTCTCCGTTTCGGCCCTATTCTTCCCCTCCTATGGAATCTACCCCAAATCGAAACCCCAGTCACCTCCGAGCTTTCTCTGGCTTATAAAATTTTCTTCTCGATCAACGAAAATCCTCCCTCTTCTTCCCTTCTCCTTTAATAGACATCCAAAAACTTCCCTCTCAAGCCTCCTGCTCTCTTTTCCGTCTCTCCACTCTCGGGTTAAATCTGCACATCCTCTTCTCCGCTGCCGCCACCCCTGCAACTCGACCTATTCTTTGCTTCTCCTCTGCCTTCCTCGAACCGAGCGGGTTACCGCTTCAGTTTCTCCTCTTTCGAGCCCTACTTCTTCAGCGGAGGAGCTCCGTTTGCTCTTCGACCGAAAGATTATTTAGCAAATAACGCACAAGACTCACTATTTTCTATTATAAACCCTAGACAAGCCGTTCTGTCTAAAATAGATAAGTTCGAGAACAATCACAAACCGTGTCCTTCACATTATTCCCTTTCAGAATAAAAAATTGAAGAAGCTATTGACATAGATCAGGATTGAACAGACAAAAAGTAAACTCCAAAAATCGAAAGCATTGAGTTAGAGATGGATTATGAAGCAGCACAAACCTTGCGCAAGCGGAGACTGAAATCGGCGAGAGCAAGATCCCCAAATTGAAGAAAGATTTCTCTGTGAGGAGAAAGCCAGAGAGAGGCTTCCGAAATTTTAGTAGTGAATTGGTCTAATTTAGCCTTTTTATAGGCGCTTGGGTGAGAGACTTGCCGTCGTATTTCTTCAGTATTTCGGAAATAATTTAATAATATATAACATTATATATTAGTAATATATTATTATTTATTATATCCAAAATATAAAATTCAAAAAACCTTATGTATTTTTTATTATCTATTTTTTGCTATAACTAAATTCTCAAATCAGCCAATCAAAAAAACTATTTTTTTAAAAAAAATTAATTATTATCATATATATTAAATTAATAGTTATATATACATATACCGATAAGTATATCTATAAATTTTAAAAAATAAATTTCTTGATTTATTTTTAATCATTTAATTATTAATTGAACCAATAAAAAATTAATTTTTATTAATTTATTTTTAATTATTTAATTAATATTTAATCTTGTTAAATTTATTGATTAGTTAATAATATTTGATTTAGTATTAATTTATATGTAATTAATTTTTTTATTATAAAAAGATGTAAAAATTAAGAAAATTAAGAAGTCATCGTGAACATTTTTGGTCAAGAAACGCTCATGATATCATCAGTGAAAAGTTATTGGAGATCATCCGACATTTAAACATGTGAGTACAGACTCATCTGAAAAAAAAAAAAGCCAATACTCGCCAACTAACATTCGCCAATTGATCAGCATATTTATTTCTTTCGTGTTTTTCGTGATAAATATGTAATTGATTCTTTGATTCACGTGAGAGTAAAAATAAGACTACAAATTAATTAGGGAATAAGAAAAAACAAGTTATCAAAACAAGTGATATGCATTGAAATTCAACTGCAAATACAGAATCTTTTAATGCAAAACAAATTCGTCAACTAGTCAGTACATTTATTTTTTTCGTGATAGATATATAATTAATTCATAGATATGTAATTGATTCTTTGATTCATAATCTTTTAGAGAATTTTCTTAGTTTTTAAAATTTACACGGGAGGAAAAATAAGACGAGACAAATCGATTAGGGAATGAGAAGGAACAAGTTACCAAAACCAGTGGAATGCATTGAGATTCAACTGCAAATACAGAATCTTTTAATGCAAAACAAATACACCATTTGTGCCTTGATTGAGAAAGCCCAAAGCATCAAAGACCATGGAAAGGTACCTAAACCCTTTACATGTCTCTCATTCTTAACCATAAAACTCCAGTTAAAAAGAAAAACTCAAAACTCCTAGCAAGATCATACTACGAATTAAGGTTGCTAAGCAACGTTTTATCGGACTATAAACAAAGCAAAATCGATAACGAACTAAAAGTTAAGATTCCAGATTAGAAGATCCCAGAAAGAAGATTTGCAGCAGTCGAAATGGCAGCTCCGGTGATGGCACATTGCACGACTTGTTCATGAGAATAGTCTTCTGATGTCAGTGCCACAGCCACCCCTGTAATTGCTCCTGCAACTGCACTGTTTTTCTGCAAAAGACAACAACAATTACATGTAAAGACTTGACTATTCTTGAATTCTTCAACTCTCTATATCTCCTAGGTCAGAACATTATGATACCAAAACGAAATCGCTTGTCTCACTTTGGACGAGTAAATCTGTGGTGGTGCTGAGTGCACAATTCAGCTCAAGTTCACAAATGAAATTGTAAAGATTGTTCTAAAATTGATTATGAAACTAAGTCCTTATCCATAAAACCTCTTCAGCACCTCCAAGAACCTCATGCACTTGAAGATATTCGCACTACATTGAAACGAGAGTGCAAAATTTCAGTCGACTGTATCGACAAACATAGGTCTAGGTTTGTTCTAGTTATGAACTAAAGCTTTCAAGGTAAGTGATTGATTCGAATAATGCTTCCATAACCATGTTGAAAAAAATTAGAACCAGCACAAATCAATTGCCTAGAAACCTCTTCAACATCACATGAAATGTTCCAACTTATGAAGAGATTATAGTACCCTATACAATCAGAAGATCAGGGAAGACATTAGAATCATCTTAATTACCCAATCATGAGATCCACGAGCTTCTTTAAGCCCATAAGTGAGGCCTGAATAAATTCCTGCAGCCAGTCCTGTAGAATATGCAAAAAAACTTTTGGTCAGTTCCCAAAAATCTCAACACAGTTGTGGACAACCCAAATCAATTGTTACTCACCCCATTGTAGAGATTCTTTTCCAGTATGCTTCACCTGTAAAAAAATGATAAGAAATCGGAATGTTACCGCAACAAAAAGCATGGCAGAGTGAAAATTTCGTCCCCAGCAGGCCAGAAAATCTGTGAAGCAGAGACAAGTTCTAATCTAAACGAGATTCGATTGCCTAACCGGTAAATCTGTTGGTTTTCTAGGTTTTAAATTCACGTGTCGTTTCAATTTTTCATACTAAATATTTTCAGTTCAAGAAACTCACCATCGCTTCAAGAGATTTTCTGTTGCTCTCTCCTGCAAAACACAGAGAATGATCATGAGACAGATCAACGCAAAGTTCCTGATTAAAAGGTTACTATTATAATAGACATACAACAACATTATGTGAAAGAAGGAAGGACCAATGGCATGGAGATGAACCTTTGAGGTCAGGGAAACGCTTCTTTTTGGCACCAGAGAGCTCCGGAGGCAGATTACTTGAATCAACTCCGGCACCTAATCAAACAAATAACTAATCATGTAAGTATGTACGTACGTATATGTATTTTACACAAAAAAAGAATGAGCTCGAGTTAAGCATCTGGAAAGGAAGACGAAACCTACTTTCAACAGCTGTGAAATAAGCCTCCCTCGACACAGCCTGGATTGCTCCAATCTGCACGCCAACTCAATTTAGACACGTATATAACAAAGTATACATGCAAGAGCCGTGTGTGTTATATGCCTTCTCTTCTACATAAACATGAAGAGATACAGAGAAAAAAAAAAAGATACGGAAAATTACGCCAGCAGCTTTGACGAAGCTCTCAGCGATGCGGTTTAGTAAAGGATGACCGAGATCGAAGAAACCGCCCTTGTCGAAGCTACGTAGCTCATCCAGCAAAGAACGATTCTCGAAGTTACTGCTCATGTTTCCGCCCTTACTCGTCCTCTTCCCGAAGAAAAAACAACAAATATATCAGAAAAATTACAAAGAGACGAAAATGTCACCAACAGTGGAGTTTTTGTGGAAAAGAAACAGGGAATGCATGAGAGTGAAAAAGGGCGAAGAAGCAGGAGTTACGAAGAAGCGGAAGAGAAAGTCAAGGCGGTACACGTGTCCTGCGGCACCATACGTGTCTGCTACAGGCTTACCAGGTTTGCGGACTTGGTGGCGTCTCCCTGAATCTTCTAGTACTGCGAACTGTACATTTCCCCACCTCTCCTTCTGTTAATACTTGTACTTGGATTACTACGCCAAACACGCCCTTAACTACTGGACCTTTTTTATTCCGCAAATTCTTGTTATTACTTTCTTTTTTTTTCAGTCCTTGAAAGTCTCCTTTATGATTCAGTTGCCATACCACGAAGGAGACACCATTGTAGTGATCTCAATATATGCAGAGTGGAAATTAGGTTTGGGTTTAAACGAGTGGAAGACATAAGACCCATCGAGGAGTCTTAAAAATTTGTATACATTATAAAAATGTGATCTTTTTTTTTTTTTTTCAAATTTCTGAATAGTTCAAAACAGGGAAATGAGATCATCTTCCTGATTACAATGGAAACTAGCTAACAATTAATGCCAAAATGTAAAAGGGCAACTTTACAATCCAGCAAGAATAACCATCCACCTTTAAAGGAAATGAAGAAAGAGAAGCTTGCAAAAGTTTTTTTAAGTTGCAACTACAGCAAGTTCTAATTTACAATGGGGTCTATAAATGCAGAGTTTCTTCTACAGCTGACAGATAATTTGCCCTTTTTAATCAACTTCCTAAATGCCTTCTTCCACGATGACAATCAGATCCACCATCAAAACTGAACAAACAAGGTGATAACTATGCAGGGCATAATATTGATGCCCTCTTCTATGGTATGCGGTTCACATAGCTAGAGGAACAAAATAGAAACGAATTGACGCAAAAAAAAGGACCCAAAAAAACAACAAAAAACAAAAAAAGAAACTTTGAAGAAAGGAAATTAATGCTGAGGAATGTTTACAAATGCAACAGTTATTCAACTCTAAAGCATCAGAAAGGCCTGGTGAACGGATCGTCGACAAGGCCTACATTATAAGTATCAGTTCCTTCTGCCCCTTGATGGTGCTATACAGTATCCTCTCCCAACTCCGACGAAACGAACAAGGGACAAGCAGAGAAAAACCGCAATCCCCCTACTTTTTTTTTCTCCTTTACTTCTTGAGAAGTCCAATTTTTCATTTAGCAGCACAGGATTGATTTACTATCAATGCACAAAAAACTGAGAAGAAAACTAGTCACCACGCTTTAAAGGATGTGAGAATGACTCAGGATCCGTTTACAGCCATTTCTGGTGAGGATTTGGGAGGTACCAAAGGGCAATCTTCTCCACCTATTGGCCGATTGTCCGAAGTGTGCAAGCAATCAGAACAGCTTCTGGAAGCAGTGAGTTCCTTCTCTCTATGAGTCTCATCATCTGAATTGTTGCCACCACCAGATTCAGAACAATTTCTCGAACTGGCAGATTCCTCGTCTTGATGATTTGCCTCACCTGAGATCTTGCTTCCATCAGTTGCCCGGGGAGACGTTTGTGTAATAGCCTTTTTACTAGGTAGCACCGCTTGGCTTAGTGTAGAACATAAAGCAGCAAATACATTATCCCTCGACTTTGTACTTTTCCCTAAACGCTGTTTCTTTGTTTGCTCATGGTCCTTGTCTTTAGAAGCCATTTTTCGCTTCAACCTAAGAGACTCCATTGTCCCCTCATCATCCTCCGAAGCTTCTGCCTGTTTTCGTGGCGGCGGCCTGTAATCTTCATCATCCTCATCATCGTCATAGTCCACAAGCCCCCCAGGTCTCGGGCTACAGAGTTAAAAAAAGGGAAGAAAAGAAATGAAGTAGACCAATAAAAAAAGAAAATTCTTGTTAAAGAATGTAATTTATATATAAATAGAGTTAAACTAGGTTAAAAGATATTAAAATAAAATACACACAAATATTAAAGTAAAATACACACTTTATAATTAATTACAACTTTCTTTTTTTCTTATAGAGACAATTATTCACGACATAGTATCAGGGTCTATTTTAGAAACCTAAAATTTTTTTACAAATCCTATATGGACTTTATTGCCGGAAAAAAGAAAACCCTAATGGGGGCCACTAGATCAGCCACCACTGGCCTTCATTGTCGGGAAGAAGCCAGGCTGCTGCCACCAGTAGCTGTGCACCAGCAGCTACGCACCAGCAGCAGTGCGACCAGGGAGCCGCTGCCACCAGCAGCAGTGCACCAGTGAGGCCACCAGCACCAGCAGCTGCACAGAACCCTCCAGCCGCATCTTTCTAGCTGCAGTTTGATGACAGTCGCCATTGCCCAGCCACACTACAGCCACTGCCCAGCTGGTAAAACCCTTATTTTTTGACTTATTTAATTGCTCTTAGTTGTCCTAAAACCTAAATTATGTCAGAGACTACATCACAAATCACTAGCACCAATTCCCACATAATCTGCATAAACTAACAGAGATTCCTAACCAATCCAGGCTACCTATCATTTCAATAGAAAAACTACTTGAATTGGTCACAATTGATTCAGACCATTTTAAAAGAAAAAGAAAAAATTAGTCACATCCTGGGAACCAGACCAAAACCAGGAGATTCAAATTTTGACACATTGAATGAGAAGATTCAATGACAATGCCTTGACTCTGGAGCTCAATGACACCAGAGAAAAACAATATTGTTATGTTCTTACCCGACACGAAAGAAGTATTGGATTCAACCAGAGAAACCTATTTCAAGGTAAAGGATGCAGCCCTAATCTATGATCTGACTATAAAAACTTGATCAGCAAAACAGGGAAATAAATCGGTCACAGAGTATATCGACCTATTAAAAAACTTGTAGTAGGAGTTTCATCAATATCGGTACTTAACCATGGAAGGTAGCAAAGATGCCGCTACCCTGAAGAACATGGTGGAGAAAGACAGCATATTATTTTATGGCATGACTCAATAAAGAATACAATAAAGTAAGAATTCAAATCCTGGCAAAAAGAAGAGGTGTAATCTCAAGGTAATGTCCCTGGTTGGTGCTGAAAAAAGTAGGAGAAAGGTTATGTTGGAACCTTGTGGTCCTGACAACTCAACAATGGCTACAAAAGGCTGCAAACCACGTCAACAAGGAAAAAAAGCCGAGTAACAATAAAAACCTAGGAGAGAATAAGAACTTCATGGTGTAGCTTCTATAAGAAACCTCGACACACTAAGGAAAAATGTTGGAAGCTCCACAGGAAGGCCACTACCTCAAGCAAAGAATGAGATTACAAGAACTCCCTACAGAAGCCTCACAAACAAGCCTATGCAGTTAATCTCCAGGAAGAAGAGAAACCCACTGACCTGAGTGAATTCAATATCGAAATTGAACAGCTAAGAAGCAAGCTTGAGCATCTAAAGAAACTCAAGAGGTAGAGGTCTGTCAGCACATTCACGTATATTTTCAGGTATACTTTCTCATTTTTGTAGTTTAAATATCTCAGATACATCATTTGAGAAATTATAAATTATAAACTTAGGGACTACTGGTCATATAACCAACTCCTCAAAACACTTACCCATATTCCTCATGCCCAAGTAATAGGAAAATTCTTATTGCAGACGGATCTCTAAATACCACTGCAGGAATGGGTACCATCAAGATTAACCCTACCCTGGTTCTTGAAATGCGCTACATGTTCTTAAACTTTGCACCATTTGTATCAATCACTAAATAAACCAGGAACCTAAACTGCAAAATAATTTTTTTTCTTCCCATTATGATTTTCAAGACCATAACTCAAGAAAAATGATTGGACATGTTCTCGCCCAGAACATTATATGCCACTTGGAGACACTTGGGCTCTCTCTCTACCATAAACAAAAAGTATAAACAGTATATTAATAATATAGCTTTTTAAAAAAAAATAAGTATATTAAAAATATAGCACTAAGGGGGTGCCACCCATTTATAAATATTTACATCTCTGTAAGTATATATATGACATATCCAAAATCCTCTATCCTATGTTATGACCCAAAATCAAATAGCCAAAATAATGTATCCATCTATCCCTAATTTTACACTTCTCACTGTCTATTCCCTCAAACGCTTTTCTGTTTCTTTCTTTACAGATTACCCAAAAAATAGCTAAAGGAATTAGATGTACAGATTTTTTTTTACATATGCCTTCCCAAGTCCTAAGCTAATCCTTTACTGATCGCGCATTGACCCAATTAATCCCCAACAACCCATAAATCATAGTCCATATCTCATAAACCACCGGACACCAAAGAAGAATGTGGTTACACGACTCAACTGCCTCTTTACATAGATAACAGCCATTAGCAAGTGTACAGTCCCTTCTCATCAGATTGTCAATAGTCAAGATACACTCTCTACCTGCCTCCCACGCAAAAAAACAATTCTAGGTGGGGGATTCACCTTCCTTATCTGCTTCACCGGAAGTCGATCCAATCCCCCCCGGGGGTCTCTTCCCCTCAGGAACTTGCGGAAAGGCTTAACAGTAAAGCCCCCTTGCTTTTTCAATTTCCACACAAGCTGACCTTTGACATCCTCCAAATGCGCAGTGGATAAAAGATACCGTTGTACCTCATATTCTTAAATCTCTCAATCATTCAAGTTCCCTGGTCACAGTCACCAACCACTCTGATCTTCCATTCACCATCTCATAAGCCTCCTCTATAACCATATTCTTCGATTTTGCAATGGCGAAAATACTCAGAAACTGGTCTTTGAGACTCCCACCACCAATCCACTCATCTAACCAAATAGGATTTTATTCCCTCTCCCCATTTTCCATTTGAAGCATTCTTGAAATTGTTGTCTTCCCATTCTTATCTTCCTCCACAAGTTCATCCCATACAGTCTAACCACCTCTCTATCACTACTACAGACTCTACCACTAAGCTCTTACTCTACCACAAATATCTTGGTCATCTTTCTTTTTTCTATTTTGAAGGTTATATTTCCTTTTTTCTTAAAGACTCCATTGATGGAAATTTACATTGTAATACATGTGCATTTACTAAACATAAGCGTGTAACATTTCTCAGTATCGATGAAAGAAGCAAATTTCCTTTTTCATTATTTCATAGTGATACTTGAGACCTACCCACATTCATAATATATCTGGAGTTTGATAGTTTGTATAATTCATTAATGATTGCAAAAGAGTATGTGGTTCGTTTTACTAAGGGCAAAATCTACTATGTGAATTATTTATTTCAAAAAAGATAAATCTGATGTGAGCTATATAGTAACTCAACTTTTCAAAATGATCAAAACCCCAGTTTAGAATCCATATAAAAAGATTTTGCATTGATGATTAAGTCATACACTATCTTCCTTTTTCAGCCAAGAATATATCATTCATGAATAATCATGTGTCCACATTCACAACAAAATGGGATAGTGATGGCACAAGAAGTATGTGAACTATTACAGCTGAAGAGTCTCCTAGAAGACCTAAAAATCAAGTGGGATAATCCATGGCGCCTTTACTGCGACAACAAATTGGCAATAAACATTACTCATAACCCTGTACAGCATGATAGAACAAAACATGTTGAAGTTGATAGGCATTTTATCAAGAAGAATTAAAAAATGGTCTGACATATACTCCCTATGTGCCCACCAAGTTACAACTAGTAGACGTATTGACTAAAGTCTTGAGTAGTCTGACATTCCAGACTATCATTACTAAGCTGGAGATAGATAACATCTATTTCTCAGTTTGAAGGGGAGTATTAAAGAATGTATTTTATGTATAAATACCTTTCGTAATCAATTATAGTTTTCTTTTTCCTTATCCCTAGAACTTGTATATATAGGAACATACCATGCATGAGAATATAACACAATTATTCTTGATATTTTCAACATTAGGACATTCGAAGTACCCTGTACTTAAATACCTTAAAGATGAATAGTTTGCAGCAACTCCATTGGAATGAGGCTGAGCAGAAACTTTTTGGGCATGAGAAGCAGATGTTGTGTCTTCTTCATCACTGCATAATAACCAAATCACATGGATTTATAAACAAAAGGTTTTACTTAAAATTTTTTAGCTTAAATTAACACAGACCTGTCTTCATTGAAATAGTCTTCCTCCTCTTTCTCTAGAGCCCGTTCATCAATTCTCCTCCTTGGGTCGATGGCATTCGCGTTACTTTTTGGTCCAGAACTTTCCAAGCACTGCAGCCATACACCCCAGAGCCCATAAAGATAAATCCCAAGTAAAATGGACAAAAGCAGGCTGCAGAAGAGAATACCTGCTCATATTTGACCTTTAATGCGTGAACAGATGTCAAATATTCAAATTTAACCAGCTGGTTCCAGAATGAATCAACTATATACCTAAGCAATAATTTCACGTTCTCCTACATGATACAAAGTCATGAGTACCAAGAATTTTTCAAGGTTCATAATCAAAATGAAGGAAAAGAGATAGGCACCTTGCGTATGTATTCAAAAAGTTCTAAAACTGCAGAGTTCAGCAGATTGTACCGATTACCATTACCAACAAAGGCATCTACAATTGGTTTCAGCAGATTGTTCTTAACAAAGTGATTTATCAGATGCTCATCCTGAAAGTATAAAATATTTCAGTTTAATAGAAGTAGTGTAAGGAATTTCTAATGCCAAGTTACAAGTTTGAGAAATGCAAATCCAATAAATATTATGTCACAGATATGCCAAGGTGATCAATCGTTCACAAGTACTCTAAACATTCGCTGATGCAGGACAAATTAAGATATTCTGCCTAAATAGGAACATAATGCTGTTTTCAAATCAGAACAGTATCAATGACTAGTTCCCAACTTGGACATCAAGCTTAAAATTTCTCAGATCTCAAACCCAATAATGACTGGACCACACAACAGTGACCATAAATGTTTTGACAATAACCTTAAAATCATCACAACTAGGTTTATTAGATCCTACACCCAAGGAGTGCCAAAGGAGAATAAATATTACAGGAGACAAATAGGGAGAATAAATATTACAAGAGCGCCAAAGGAGTGCCATCTGTATAGAAAAGCAATCTCACTCAACATGGATACAAAAAGGCCAAAGGATCCTACACCTACGTGCTTTAGTTGAGCACGTGTGTCTTCTTAGTCCCATATGAATGATACAAAAAGCGCATTTCTCACTCTATTCCAAAAGCTCTGACCATATCAACAATACCAGATACAACTAACAAATAACTTACTTTAACTATTTTTGCAATCAACTTCAGTGGAAGGGAATTAAACTGTAGACACATTTTTTGTAAATTGCATATGCTCTACTAAGGAATAAATCTGTTTCGGTAAGATAACAGCTTAAGGACCTCCAGATGACCAAAAACAGATTTACTTACATGCCGAGAAAGAATAGTGCGAATAAATCGAACAGCAGCAACTACCAAGTATTTTTCTCTTCTGTGCGTTAGCAAAAGAACTTTGTCTACAACATTATTAAGGAGAAAATTACACCTGCAGAAACAAGCCCAAATCAGTTTCACATGGGTATCAGCAAGCATTTAACCTATATGACTTCACAACAAGCTTCTAATGATTACTTTATTCTGTAAGGATGGTGCAGAACACAAAAGCATAGCAATTCACATATGTTTGACAGTATCTCAGGCTTCGTGCAATTCTGGTTTCCAACTCTAGTAGTGCCAACGGATTTAGTAATTGCCCTTTCAGGACATGATGCTGTTATAACATCAAATAACAGACCCAAATGCTTCTCATAGAAGATATCAATAATAGTATCCCGCTGCAGCAAAATCAAAAGAGATTAGAAAGTAAATTACTGAATTCAAGGCAACTACTAAACAAAAGAGGAGAAAAGAATTCAATCTTACATGAAAGCTTATGAGACATATTTTTTCGAACATATAAATAAAAGACAAATCAACATTCAAATATTTTCACCTGCATAAATAAACTCAAAACTGTTGTCGAATTCAAATGCAACTATTATTAATGTACATAAAATTTACATTATAATCAAGCAGTTTTGGCACCTAAAGTATAAAACTAAACCCAGGATATCAGTACAAAAATTAGTACATCTATGAACAAGTAATATCAAGTGCGATATTTAATAAATATCTCATCATAAAATATAAACATTAGTTTTTTTATTTTTGAAGAGAATTAACTAATTCATTATTCAATTTGACAAACCCATTATTTACTTGTATATGGAAAACAAAACCACATGACATAATATACAAAAGTCACATAAACAAAGTGCCCACTCAAACATCCATATTTTCTTAAGTACAGATTTTGCCTATGGTGTGCATGATTTCCGATTAATTTAAAGATGGCATAATGTTTTTTTTACAGAAAAAGAAGCTGAGGATGAACTAGAACATGTATTCAGTTTTTTTTTCTTATTGGTGCCATGTATTCAGCTTAACTAATGAGTTTAACCTCTAACCAACCATGTTACACTGGAATATAGCCCAACTTTCACAAAAACAGAACAAAAAAACTCGGATGCCAGGGAAAAGTAACAGATAATTAAAAGTGGAGCTCATTTATATATGCAAATTTCAGGTGGAACTGAAATTCAATTGTTTTCTGGGACAAATTTGAATATCCTATGACAGAAGCCAGATCCCAGATAATCGGAGTAGCATGCCCCTTCTAGTAATATATTTAAAAGTTTAAATGATATGATTTACTTTTTCTTCACTCCAGTTGCATGAAGGTATTTGACTTTTAGTGATCAATTATCACAGTTGACATAACCAGGCAAGATTTAGGATAGAGAACTTCAAAATGAGGCTCATTCAGGGATCATTACCCAAGCTTCAAACTAGATAAAATATGTACACAGGCCAACATATCTTAGCATTTAAGTATTAAAAAATGCAAAAGCAGGTCCATTACCATCAACACACACCTCAACCCCCCAATACCACCAGATAATCAAGGTTCGTACAATTTTAAAGATACACTTGGCAAAGAGGACAATATTAATCACCTACAAGAGATATTAAGTCAACCGTGCCAAAGCCAGTCTAGTTAGACTGGAGAGTTCAGGTCCAGGCTCAACCACCAGCCACAAAAATAGACATCAAGGTTGATTACATTGCTGAAGCTAGCTTGCTCCATTCAGAAATCCAAATTTGGGATAGCATATACATAGTATATAAAAATGCCCAAACTGTTTATGGACATAATTCACTATTCAGTAAACTTATTTGGAAAATAAAGTGGGTGAAAGCAAATACAGGAGCAGGCACCTGGCCTCCTGATAATGTGTATGAATCTAGTAAACTTCGGAGAATTTCAAGAAACTGGCAGTGCATGTCGTCCTCAAAATCTGTTATCATTCCCTTAACCTGATGTGAAAAAAAATTATACATTAGCTCTTTTAATGACTATTAAAGAAAACAATAACTGCCTTAGGTAACTTCCCTAAAATGAAAAAAAAAAAAATCTGGTAAGTGCATACCAAAAGTCCTAGGAGGGTGATTCCTTCCTGCCGGACAACATAAGAGCGCAGAAGGTTTGGATCCTGATTTAAGAACAGAATGAGAATATCTGTCCTGCATCCATTAGAAGGAATTACTTTTAGGTAAAGAAGTAGGGGATGAACGGAAAATTTTATATTAAGAACATTGTTTGTGTTTTTTATACCCAGTTAACACAAGCTTTTTGTCCTCACTCTGCAACACATCAGTTATGATGTCAAAAATTCCTTCGTTCATGAGATCCCTATAATAATTGATGAAAACTGCTTTTTAGAACATATTGATCATCATGGAAGTAATTCTTAAAAACAAAGTACAGATCAGAATTGATTCTACAAGCAGCATACCTAAACAGCCGCAACTGTTGGACCATCTGCAGGCTCTTGCTTAAACTACAAAACTCATGCAAGAAATGTACCTATTTTAAAGGAATAAAAAAGCACGATAAATATAGAGGTACATTAAAAGGTAATAAATTAAAAAGATGCAACCATGAGACTAGGCAAAAAAGTATAATAACAATACTGCTCCGTTCATCATGAGCGAGTGACCTGTCAATTTCCCAGAGCAGATAAATAAATATGCATATATAATACGTAGATATAACATAAGAATATATAACAAATGGTACCAGATTCCCAGTCAGACAAAGTTTGGAAGGTTAAAGTATCATCCACAGTATCCTTTTTTTTTTGCTTGGGAGCCCAGCAGGAAGTACATTCTGACCATTGATAAATTGATAAGACAGGATAAGATTCTAGTGAATAGATGCTATTTCTGTAAAAGGACTGCAGGGACTTGCAACCATTTACTCTTTTGGTGCCCGGAGATTTACAATCTTTGGACCATTGTCTATGGTTTATTAGATGTGCAGTGGATGATGGTGGCATCGGTTAGAGACGAGTTATAGCGTGGAAGGGTATCAACAGGAGGAGGAAATAATGGTTTGGAAGAAGAGAAACATAAGAGCTTTTGGAGAGGTAAACGATGATAATGGTTCGACTTAATTAGGAACAGATGGTCCAGACCCTTAGATTTTTGTTATTGGGTCATGCTTTGTAGTTTATGAAGAATTCAGGAAACCTTATTGACTTGTTGATAGATATATACATATAAATATTTTGTATACAAGATGGCATCCCCTTTGTGGCATTGTTGATAAAATTTTGCTCTGTTTATTTCAAAAAAAAAAAGAATATATAACGAAAAGAATGCCTATAGGTTGGAACAACTCCATGTGCGCATCTACACAAGGCATTCACGTCCCATTATTACCAAAAATAGTAATGAATCAATAAAGAATAATCTCTGTAGAGAATATACCTGAGAATATACCTACGGGCCATGCAACACACTTTAAATTAAAAGAGAGTGTATGTGCATGAGTGTGTTCAACACACTTCCGACATCCAAAAAAAGACCCATAGTTGTTTTTGCATTGTGAGAAGGCCTAGAGACTTTGCTCTTCTCCCTCCCTCCCACACTCAAAACACCCCCAAAAGCCCAAAAAAAAACCCAAAAGTTGAATGCTACTAAGAACAACTCCTTTTACAGGGTTATGAGCATTATGGTTGCTGAGATATGAAGGTTCTTCAAAGACTATTTCCTACCTCCTCAGTTACTGTGTTATGTGGCATAAGAAATCTTTTTGGTCTCTTTCAGCTAGCTCTCACGAGCATTATAGGGATATCTCATCAGCTATTTTCAGAAATTGGCCAGTAATTCTATATTTATTTTTAGGGTAAATTATAGCTTCACCCTTGTGACTATACATAGCAGCTAACTCCCGTGGGTATTTACTATTAAATAAAAGGGGAAACTAGGTAAGCTTCATGAGAAACATTAGTTTTACATGGCTGTAAAATTTATTTTCTATTAAAGATTCTTTTACATGGCTTTTATAATTTATGTTGCAAATGTAATTACTATTAGAATGAAAAAGATAAGTGACAGAACTTTTTTGATCTTCCATTCTAAGAGAAGAATTTTGAACCTCTACAAGACTGGCAGAGCCGTTAGAAGTAACAAGATTATTCTACTAACATAGAAACCACACGGTCTTATATTAAAATTAGCCAAATCACAAAAGTGAGACTGTTACTTGCCCCTATCTCTAGTTTGCCTTTCTTTCTTTTGTTCTTTTTTCTCTTTCATTTTTAGGAGGATTTGAAGTGTTTTCTTCTATTCTCTACCTAATAGTACTTCTTCGATATGCTAACACTACGGTAAAGTTCTTGTAAATGGTCGGTACCCCTTTTTTGGTAACATGTTTATATATACTTCACTTTTTATTCAAAAAAAAAAAGGATATAGCAATGAAAGCTACTAAAGGGATGCCACCCATATGCAAAAGATCTAAACAAAATCATAAACCAACATACATATAAGGTTTCCCAAATACTCCCAGTTAAGGAAAGGTCCTATCAACAAAACACTTACTTTATATTTAAAAAAATTATGAAGTGGATTGGGGGTGGGGGGACCACCCAAAATTACAAGAATATCCCATAATAAAAAAGGGCACAAGGAAAAAAACATGCACCGTACACCCTCCTTTCGCACGAGCCCACCATTACCAGGACCTTTTTGTGAACTAATATGAGTCAAAACTAATATGAGTCAAAAGTACCATTAAGTATAGGCACCAAGGGGTGCAAACCCATGTACAAAGTTATTCACAAATCAGTAAAGATATCAACAAGTTCTCCTAAATCTTTCCATGTAGTACAACGGTTAACCCAGAACCAAAAAACCAGAAACCATCTCTCTCGAATTCTGTCAATACCCTCTTCTACCCCTTCAAACACTCTTATGTTTCTTTCTTTCCACAAAAACCAAAATATTGCTAGTGAAATAAGCCCCAAACACTTTTTTCCCTTTAACTCATCACTTCCATACCAGCTATGACCCAATTAACGCCTAGAAGACCATAAGCAGAATGATAATTAAGTTCATGGCAAAGACAGACTGGCCATCATGCTTCATTCAGAAGATAAGGCTATTGATATTGGATCCAAACAGAAAAATGAGGAAAAAAAAAGTGAATCTTATAAGTTTTTCCTACCTTTATTTCTTTTGAAATAAAAAATATGATATAATTCATTAATTCACAAGCACCAAGGGGGTACCACCCATGTACAAAAATATTTACATGTCAATTAATGTGTGTTCTACCTTCTTGATTTATCAACTTCAACAATCTCTTTGTTGGCAAATCTTTTTCCTTGTAAGAGCGGAAAGTCAAGGGACTTCCAACACAAGCTTTCAGCCAGTAGATGGTTTTTCATCTTTGAATGCTTTCAAACTCGATCCTAGAAATACCATTATTATTACTATTCAATAATACTAATACTGACCTTAGATTTACTATTCAAAGTTTGGTATTATTTTAGTTATACTCCTAATTAGTTATGATTTATATTTTAGATTAGTTATGATTTGCTTTCCGATTTAAGTAATACTTGTATTAAGCTAGTTCGGCATTAAATTTCCTTTTCTGTTATCATTGTTCTTTTAGGATTAGTTTAGTGACACTATAAATACGTATTCTTATGGGTTGTATAGTAGACACTCAATTCTTGATAAACTCTATACTATTCTTCACTAAATAACTTCGTCTTGGTAGATTCCAAGAATTTCTTAATTTCCTGGTGGATTCCAGGATATCCTCTTCACCCACCCCAAACAGAGAAACAAGCAACAAGAGCACATGGAAAGGAAACTTGACTACATGTGAACGAAAATGAACATGTTCTCAGAGATTACCAAATTTTTCTTGGACTCAATAGACATGGTAGGCGACCTCAACCTTGAAAATAACTCCTGAATAAAGGTGTTGTCATCCTTCAGCAAAGAGACAACCTACAATGGGGTATGATGGTTAGAGGTAAAAGTACTATAAACTTCAAAAGTATTCAAACAATAGGCTTTGAGAGGTTTTACAATGGCATTGTTTGCATGAATTATGGAGTTCAAATTTGCTACCGTGGCTTCATCTAATACTCTAGCAAGAACAACATCCTGAAAAAGGTGATGAAAGGTGAGGTTTAGGACAACCAAACAAGCAGAAATTCCATGAAAAAATAGAAATAGAAATATAACCTTCAAATAACCAACTCTATATGTCTGGTGTATCTTTGACAGGACTAGGGGATCTTTAATTGGTATGGCCTGAAAAAATGAATATCAGAAATAGGAAAAGTAAACTTCTATACCTAACAATATCCCTTCAAATTTTGAATCCAGTCTCCTAACCTAATTCTAAACTTAAGTGTAAGGAAAAAAGACAATGCAAGGACTACATTACCTCCTTAAAAACAACATGCTCTTTTAGAAAATTTCGGTGGTGCTGGGCATGAGAAACATCAGGATCATCTACAGAACAAATTCAAAGCAGTTCCTTATAATCAAATATTAGTAAATTTTTATAAGAAAAATTTCCCCATGAGGTGCCAAATTAACCCCACCAGAGAACAAATGAAACTCTTACCACAAGAGTTGGAAGGATTTTTTATTTTAAGGAATGGTGAAAATAAATATAACAAATTATTTAATGAACATGGAGAATCAGAAAACTACCAAGGACACCAAACAACCTTTGCTTCAGTAAATAGTAACATTCTATCCTCTAAAGATCGTGGAACAGTTTGATGTGCAATATAAGAAATACAAATTAAAAAGAGGCAAATCTGTCACAAATTTGAAGCAAAAGTACTTGGGGGCTTCTGAATGTCAATGAAGAAATCCATCAGCATATAGATAAATCTGTGAGATTAGAGAACCACTTTGCTCTAATCGAAAAAGTGATTGGTTCATTTTGGCCTCCAAAGCTGACCAAAAGGCAAATACCTAATACCTTCTATCTAATGTTACATCAGGCAATGATTATCCAAACAGGTAAATATGCAGATAACATCCAAGATCATTCCTAATGTGGAGATAACAGAAAAAAAGTACAAGATCAAGGTCTAAGAACTTACACTCAAGAGAACCAATTATATTCATGATCAATTCATCTCCAAAGATCTTCTCGAAGATCTGAGGACTATTGAGCAAAACTGAAGATATTCAACAAAAATCCAATCAATGAAAATCACTAAATGACAAGCAAATTTTAGCATGAAGCAAGACAACATAGGAGCAAATGCAGTACTCACTGATCCCTTTGACTATTTTAAATATCATGTGAAGACCATCAATGTTCTCCAAGTCTTCACAGATCCTAAATAGGTCCAGCAACTTCCGGAAGAAATCTTGATGCATAAAAATAAGAAGGTCCATTTAGAAGAGTTCTTACATATTTATACCGGAAAACAGGAAACAAGTACAAACTTCCATAACATGATAGGGCATTCAATTTTTACACATGACAGAGGAAAAGAAATAGAAATGACCACTCGGAACGCGAACAAAGAAAGAAAACATCAAAACAAATCAATTCATAACACGAAATCACTATAAAGTTGAAAATTGAAAACAATATGCCAATAATTCAATTTTGTTTCTTTCTTTCAGAAAAAAGTTCTAAACTAAATGTTGTTTTAAATAAAAATTAAACTAAATGTTAAAGGACAAAGAAGCAGCTTTGAATTACCATGGTATTATTAACTTGGTAAGTCGTCATAATATAATTGTCGTTTACTGAGATCAGAATTTCAGAAATGAAAACCAACTTTGAATTCTCCAATGCAAGTTTGCATGGACAGTCACACACAACTAAAGCCAGGAAGCTCGAGAATGCAGCAAAAGGCAGAACATACTATCACAAATCCATATTGGACCTGTTCTATTTAAGAGCAAATAAACAATTGATTGCCTGAAGAAACGTTTAACCAATTCAAGTCATAGGTTAAACTAAAACTGAGGAACCAGAATATTTAAATCAAACACATTCAAAATCAGCACAAATTCCAAAAGTTAATAAAAAGCTCACATCATTTATTATAAGTTCTGTCAGCCGCATCTGATCTGCAATACCACTCTCAGTCACAGTCTGCAAGACAATCATTTAACTGAATTTAATAATCACATTTATTTATACATGCCAGACAACTTACTTGCAGGAAATCCTGGTAAAAAGAAAAAAAAATCCAGAAAAAGGAAGCA